CTGCTGATAACGGGTAAACAAGGAAAGCATATCTAAAACTTACCTCTATGGTACAATATACCCTCAACCCAGCCACAATCAGCCAAGCTGAGAGCAGTGTAGAGCCTTCCAGGTCTAACAGATACCACAGCCAAGCAAAGGAGGGCAAGTCTTCAGCATCTCCCCATGGCAACCCCATCCCTTGCCCTCTGTCTCCTCTCTCTTCCCTCCTGACTCTCCAGGCACAGGGGAAATGCCTCTGGTTTCCCCGGAGGACGTCATAGAAGCAGTGTAAACCAGAAGATGAAGGATGGAGCACACACCCATGGTCATGTCCAGAGATAAAACAGCCGGGCAACCCCCAGCCCCAGCCACTGCTCGGTCGCGGCCCTGTTTAGACCCCCAGGGTGTGTGGCCTCCAAGTCATTGACACACAAAAGCCACTCGGCAGTGGTCCGTCTCTGCTCCATCCTTCCTGGACGGACTGAGCTCACATCCCTGGCCCCAGTCATCTTTCACGAGCCCAAGGTGTCCACGGATGGGCACAGGAAGCCTCAGGGTTTTTCCACTGCCACAGGCATCTCGCCGGGGCCACGCGATAGGAAATGCCCGTACAACAGCCCAGTGGGACAGATGCCGCTCCTAACATCCAAATAATCATTTCACAAATTATCATAATCATCAATCAATCAAACTGTTTGGACAATGGGAAGGCTGGGCGATCAGATGGCTTTTATGACCTGTAGCGTTTTGTACATAATAATAACAGAGAGATTGATGAACCTATCACGGGTCCCTCTTGCTTCGGTGGGGCTGTCGTTAGCTCAATTTATTTTTGACTTTCTTCCCATATCTCCAGCCATGGCCCCAGAGGACTGGCTATAGAAAAGGCCCCCCAGTCTGAGTCTGGAAGATGTAAACTTCCATTTGTTTATCTGTGGTGTGAGTATATGTGGGGGGGGGAGTAGAAAATAAAAATACAAGAGGAAAAGGTCACTTCCCTTTGTTTGTGGTTTCTCCCCAGCTGTGCAGTATTAACACGTCCTTCCTTTTCAAGATGGTGAAAGAAAACAAGATAAAGTGGACAAAAGGAAAGGCCGTGGGGGCCTGCGTTTCCCCTTTTCCTATCACCGAAGAGATTGAATCAAAATTCTTTCGGCTGATACCATCTCCCTGGGTGGACTACACTCTTGTTAAGGGATAAATTCAAGCCCTCCAGAAAGTCAAAGAATAAATTTAAGCCTTTTGCCAAATGTCTATCCTATTGGATTTTGATAAGACGGCCATTGAGCCTTAATAATGTCTTCCATCCATTTTCCGTGAGCCCTTAACACGGCTCTTTATTCGTCCCCAAAGCCTCTTCGCCCGGCCTTTTTATTACCGGCCCCCGCACGCTCTCCAGGGAGCCGCGCGACCAAGTGATGGATGGACAACTTGCTAGATTATCTCCCGCAGATGTTTGCTCTCCAGGAGCCGCGGGCTTCCCCTCTAAGTAAACAGAGACTAAATAGAGTCACCGGCAGAGGGGCCGTCCCAGAGGTCCGGGCACTGCCGTACTGCACCAGGCAGGCGGCTAGAAGAGGAGACAGGGCCTAAGTGACTTTTCAGAAAGTGCAGGTCACACGCCGTGGGCGCACACCACCATGTGGGGCCGGCAAAGGCATGGAGGCTTGGGAACTGGACGCGGGGCTCAGGACCTTGTACTGGAGCTGAAGCTGGGCTGCGGGCATCATGGTATGGGGTCAGTGATGGGGGGGGTGGAGGGGGACACAAGGGATGAGCCAGAAGGGGACCATACAGGAACACTTAGGACCAGAGGGGACAGAGAACGCAGACCTAGTAGACTAGAGAGAAGGGGGGAGGTGGGGTGGGGAGAGGGGAGGCTAGAGAAGATGTCCAGACACAGGGCACAAAGGGCCTAGAAGTGAAGGGATGGGATTGGTGGGGGGGGGGGGAGGGGGGGGGAGGGGGAGCCCCGCCCCTTTGGGGGCGTGGTTTTACCAAGTGTAGCAGTTCCAGGGCTACAAGCAGCTTCCGCATTGCCACCCTGAGGGACCTAGGCTCCATCACCTTTAAACTTGGAATAGATGATCTTGGCACTTAGACTCTATAGCAGTGACCGCCCTCCCCCGCCCCCGGAAAACGTGGCTTTTCTGCCTGGCAGACCCTAGTAGAATGAATGAAGTCTGTTACATTTCATCCCTAAGAGGGACTAAACCAAGCTCAGAGACTTGCTGAAACAGCCCAGGGGGTTAACCAGCCCCCGGCCCCTGCCCACTCTGCCCATCTCATTTGTATTGCAAGTAGTATGTACGTGTTAGGATGACCCAAACTGTAAAACCAGTGAATTGGGAAGCCACTGAATTCATCTCTTAGATGGCACTCTTGTGCAAGAAGTTACATCAGCTATAAACAATGCGATATTCCCACATGTTCCCATGACCCCAGGCAGCATTTCTGTTTGCCAGGTGGGACCTTCCATCTGGAAAGAACTGGATGAGGCGGTGTCCCCTGCCTTGGGTCCCACTGTGTGACAACCCCTCCCCCACCCGCTCTGGCTTCTCCGATCATCCCAACAGTGTGATGCTGGGCAACCTCGAATCTCCTCAGTGCTACCAACGCCCAGGTTCAGCTGGGGCTGAGAAACTGTGTGCTGCAGTGGGCAGAGAAGCAAAGTCGACGATGCGGACGGCGATGGGGGGTGAGGAAGCCCGCCCCCAGCCCCACAACGACCCCCGTGGGGCAGTGAGCAGCTCACAGCTGGTCGCCTGCCGGCATCCCATCAGTGCCAATATGCTCGGGCTGCTTGGGGGTCCCGGTGACCCTCGGGGGCTTCACAAGGGCATGAAGCTGAGTGAATGCCATCTCCCCGGCCCCACGGCCACCCCACCTCACCCGGGAGTGGTCCTCGGCGGCCCCCCACCTGCTCAGCCACGAGCAGCCTCTAGATAACCCAGGGCCACATCAGACACGGCCACGGCCCCTCAGGCGGAGCTCACGCAGTGCCACCGGAGGAGCCCCACAGGGAGGGCAGCCACGTTGATCCTCATCCAGCCAGAAACATCCAGACCTCACCTCTCCACCATCCCTGAGGTTTAAACTCGACTTCTGACCTCCGGCCTTGACCCTAGTTCTCATGGCCCACGCGGCATGCACTTACGCATCTTCCCCGCCCCTCCCACCCGCTCTCACACCACATCTGAGAGACACATCAAGTAAACAAGGTTGTCTGGCCAAGTGTCCCACAGCCTGGCTCGGGGCGTGTGCGTGTGTGTGTGTGTGTGTCTCTGTGTGTGTGTGTGTGTGTGTGTGAGCACCACTCCAGAGGGGAAGGAGATTGGAGTTGAATACAGGTTGTTTGTTTGTTTGTTTCCAGGAAATGAAAGCAACTGCAGTGATTTGAAACACAGAAGCGCTGCTTCGTGTCTCTTGCTTTCCTATGTCCTTTGAGAAAATATAAACTCATTCAAAGAGGCAGGAAGGGAGAAAGAGGGGAAGAGCCATGATATGATCAGATGAAGGAAGGAAGGAAGGAAAGAAGGAAGGAAGGAAGGAAGGAAGGAAGGAAGGAAGGAAGGAAGGAAGGAAGGAGGGAGGGAGGGAGGGAGGGAAGGAAGGAGGGAGGGAAGGAGGGAGGGAAGGAAGGCCTGCCTCAAGCGTCCCTTGGCAGTGGGGATTGAGAACAGACACCTATCTCCCTACACAAGAATTCTAGAGATTGCACGGGGACAGGGACAGGGACTACGGGTCAGAGGTCCTACAAGAGGCCACTGCAGAGCCAAAACATGCTGCTATCCCCATGTCCTCCCAAACCCACACCCGGGGCTGGACCCGGGAGAAGGGACAGGCCCCACCCCTTTGCAGCAAGCTCGGCCAACACACTGGCCTGGCCTAGAATGTTCGGCACAGATCAGAAGCTCAGGCCACGTCTCACATGAAGTCAGCAGGGTACCTCCACCCACAGGAAGTACCAGGTAAGGGGTAAGAAGAGTCAGGTGGCAGCTGAGCCACCCACTGGGGATCCAGCCTCCCAGCAGCTTGGTTTACACAGTGACTGGGACCTGCTGTCTTTTGATTTGGAGACACACTGCCCAGAAAGAGGACATTACTTATTTGACTGGAAAATCCTAAACACGAGATCAACTGTATTTGTGAGTGTGTGCATCTGTCCCTGTGTATTTGCATGTGTCTGCACACACACAGGAAGCCCAGGGCTCTGCCCGGTGAGCGGGTGCAATGCTTTGGAACTGATTTGGGAGCAAGCCCTTCTCCCTGCTGTCTGGGCTGCAGTGTGTGTGTGTGTGTGTGTGTGTGTGTGTGTGTGTGTGTGTGTGTGTGTGTGTGTGTGTGTGTGTGTGTGTGTGTGTGTGTGTGTGTGTGTGTGTGTGTGTGTGTGTGTGTGTGTGTGTGTGTGTGTGTGTGTGTCTCCGTGGGTATCCTCCTTCAGGGACATGTGTATTTTCTCTTTGCATAGATCTCTCTCAGCGTCTTTGGGGGCTTGTGTTTGTCGACTAGCTATTATCCATCATCAACCAGCAAGCAAAGTAGCAGCTAATGCCCAGCTGACATTCTTTCTTTCACCTAATGGTTTGCTTATTTAAAGCGATGCTTGAACCCTCTTTGCAAGCTCTGAGTACAGCAAAGGCTTTGTTGACTCTCAGACAATTGTGTCCACCCCCATATTCTTTTCACGTGAGTATCTAGAGACGCTAGCTAAATCAACATCACCTGCCTTGATGTAGTTTCTATGTGTCTGCGTGGCCTGAAGCATTCCCACGGGCCCAGAGTTCTCAAGAATTGGGATGGCACCACCTCACCTGCTTCTCAAAATCACAAGCGCCCCGCCCGTCACCCCTGAACCGCAGTCTAGTGCAGCGACCGGCGGGCCCTGCATTGCTCGGGGCCTCGGAGCGCAACAAAATCCACACCTCTGGCAGCCTAGGGGCACCTAGAATCTCACAGGTGCCCCAGCAGGTGTCTGAAAAGGCGCAGGGGAGAAGACAGAGGACCAGCGGGCCTACCTTTTTGATGCAGCCCTCCTGGGACGAGACCTCTGTGTCAGCCAGCATCTGTTGCAAAACAAGTTTGAAAAGGGGCCAGTCAGTAAGGACAACATGCCAGCCCGGAGCGCAGTGGGCTGCCCACCGTAGGGACAGGTCAGAATGTCCTCTGCCAGGAGACCTTGCTGCTCCATGCTACAAAACCAGGAGCTCTGTTGATGAGCAGCTCCTTTATTGTAGCAGAGTGCTCCTGACCCCGCCCCCCGCCCCCCCGCCATTTGCTGAGGACTGGAAGTGTCCTCCAGGGCTGTCTCCTAACACTGCCCCAAGCCCCGTTTCGCAGATGGAGCCACCCTGCCTAGCTCTTCAGAAGCTGTGTGGGGACCCGCATGTGGGTCTCTACAGGCGTGCTGTATGTGTGCTGCCAAATAACTCCACAGCACTCGGGGAGACTCAGAAGCGGGGGACAGACTGGCCAGCAAATGTGCTTGGCCTGTGTTTGTGCAGCCCGGGGCAGGTGGGGGGGAGGCGGGGATGGTTGGGAGTCCGCCCTCCCTCTGGGACTTCCAGTCTGGCTTGGGAGGCAGAGTTCAGGGGAGTCACAGGTGTGTCCCAGGAGAGTGGACCAGGTGGCAGGAGGAAGGCAGGGGGCACCACAGCATTCTGACATTCTGTCTCTGGGAAGAGGTTCTAGAAGGACCGTCTCTCTCCCTGGCACTCAGGTGAAAGCAGAGGCTGTGGTGGGCATCACAGGAGTGCGCTGGCACCGGTGAGCCGTCCACCCAGCTCTGGACAGCACAGGACCCGCTCCTCCTTCTGCAGAGGATGAGGCTGACAGTGAGGAGAGCGTGTGGCGAGCCGGGCCTTCCTCCCTCCCCGGAGCGCCTTCCACGAGCTTTCCTTGGCTCCATTCTGGACGGTTGTGGCATTTCGCCCGGCATCTCCTCTTAAAAACCACCAAGCTCCACTCCAGAGGGTGGCAGGTCAGCGACCAGCCCAGAGTGCTAAAGCTAAGCAAACTGACAAATTAGCTGCAGAAATTGGACTTTTCCCTTCTGGGTTGGAAGTGTGGCACATAGACTCACATACATAAATTGTAATGTCGCTTTCAGAAGAACAGAAACCAAGATTGAAACTAATACTTGAAAAAAAATAAAATGAGAAGTCATGGCGAATCCAAGAGTTTTCCCTTCCCCTTCAAATTATGCCATGATGGACCGCAGTGGCTACAGCAGGTGGACGAGGAGACCTGAATGTGGCCCTCCGGACGTGGCTCCCCAAATGTGGCCCTCCCGACGTGGCTTATTTGCCTAGCTTAGCTGTAATATCAGGAAGTCAGCCCTCCAAATGGTGCGAATACTAACCGACTGGAGAGTTTACATTTCTTTTCATTAATACCAAACCTGTGGTCTGGAAAGGAGCTATAAGCAAAAGAGGAGAAAGAGCCGGGCGCCGGTGGCTCACACCTGTCATCCTAGCTACTCAGAACAAGGTCTGAGGATCACAGTTCAAAGCCATCCTGGGCAGGAAAGTCATGAGACTCTTAACTCCAGTAAACCATCAAAAAGCCAGAAGTAGAGCTGTGGCTCAAGTGGTAGAACACTAACCTTGAGCTAAAAAGCTCAGGGACAGTGCCCTGGCCCTGAGTTCAAGCCCCAGGACTGGCACAGGAAGAGGAGGAGGAGGAAGAGGAGGAGGAGGAGGAGGAGGAAGAAGAAGAAGGTGGAGGAGGAGGAGGAAGAGGAGGAAGAAGAAGAAGGAAGAGGAGGAGGAGGAGGAAAAGGGGGAGGAGGAGGAAAGGAAGGAAGGAAGGTAGGAAGGAAGGAAGGAAGGAAGGAAGGAAGGAAGGAAGGAAGGAAGGAAGGAAGGAAGGAAAAGGAAAGAAAAGGAAAATAAGGAGAGAGAAGAAGATGAGGAGGAGGAGACCGAAGGGGAAGAGGAAGAGGAGAGGGAGGGAAAGGAGGAGGAGGAGCAGGAGGAACAAGAGGAGGAAGTGGACAGAGATGGCTGCGTGGAGATGGAGGCTGAGCCAGGAGCCACACAGTCACAAACCAGAGGCCCTGGCACCAGCACCTAGAGGGGGTAGGACAGGAGGGTTCTTCCCTAGAGCGCTTATGGAGCTGTGCCTGGCTGTACTTGGACTTCAGACGTGTGCTGCTGTGCTGGGTACATCACTGAAGGTGACGAGCCTTGGCTGGAGCCCCAGCCAGGCCTAGGGCTTCGGTGCCTGCACAGGCTCCTTCAGCACACAGACACCTGCTCTTTGGCAGGGCTGCCACGCGCCTGCTGGCACACGTGTACTGTCCTGGATCCCTGCTGGCACACATGTACCGTCCTGGAGCCCCGGGTGCTGGGTGTTGGCCAGGAGAAAGCACTCGGTGGCCTCTGGTTGGATGTTTACAGTGTGGCTCCTTCCAATCAGAGTTGGACAGGTGGGACCCGCAGTGCTGCAGGCCCACAGCCGTAGGGTCCATGGTCAGAACCCTTGGGGTGTCCACGAGGCCACCCGCGGCCTCTGTGCTGGCCTCTGGGCCCTGGCTTCCTTGGGATTGGGTTGCTCAGCTGGGTTTCGGGATGTGGGTTGTCAGGCAGGGGAGTGAACCACAGAGGGACGGGGAGGAGTATGGTCCGGCTTCCTCCATCAAATGACGCTGGGCAGGAGGGGACACGGGGTCCACCGGCCACTCTGGGGAGGCTGAGCCTGGACTGTGCAGAGGGAAGCAGCCTCCGGCAAGGGCAGGTTGCAGCCCTGTTCTGGAGCTGCCCACCCCTGCTTAATGGCTGCCTTGGCAGGTATGAATACCATTAACTCGGCCTCCTCACCGGCGGCTGACCTCGGGTGGAGAAACCGCCGGGCGCTCCCTCGGCCTCTGGGCCTTGGCTTCCTCCCCAGCCCAGCCGCTGCTTTACTGAAAACCCTCTTTCTTCCGCAGCCTGGCCTCGGCACATGCAGCTGGCCCGTTCACTGCTGGCGGCGAGGGCCGCACTTGCGGCTCCGTCTCCGCACCCCGGCAGAAGTATTAGGTGTGTTTTGATTGAGCATTTTAGCCAAAAAAGCGAGGTTGACCTCCAGCATTTAGCTTCTCTGTGGAGTACCAGTGCCAGGGGTTAGCTGAGTGGGGTTGGTCAAAACATCTTTTTCAACTCTTAAAATAAATACGCTGTTCTCCAAGGAGTCAGTGAAGAGCAGACATACACTCTTACACAGAGACACATGCACGTGCAGACACATACACACCATCCACAAACACACCCATGTACACACATGCATGCACGCAAATACACACAAGTGTACACAGACACACGCATAAGAAACACCCATGCATACACATCAGCATACACATGTGCACACACATGCATGTGTGCACACACGGGCTCATATTCTCATAGCTCTGTGACTCTGGCCCCCTCCGCCCCGGGGGCGGGGGCGGGGGGGGGGCTGGATTTCTGTTTCATGTCACGAATAGATTGCAAAAGGATTCCTCTCTTCACAAAAATCTCAGTAAAGATTTGAGAGCAGCCCTACTGGAGGAAACACAGACTAGTTCTGGTCATGAGCCAGGAAAACCAGAGAGATGTGGACAGAGGCCAGTGTGTGTGTCTGCCCAGGATGGCCTGTGGTAGACATGTCTACCATGCTGTCCTGTCCCATGGGGTTCCCAGAGCTCTGATGTATCCACCTTTCGTTCCTGGCCTTTGGGCTTAACTCTGTAACCTATATATCTTCTGTGCCCATTTCTGAAAGTTTCTTTGCATCCAAAGTCACATATGTGAGCTTAGAACCTGTGGGAAGCTGATTCCAAGGCCTTCTCTGTGGGCAGGTGCTGAGGGCCGCTGTAAGAGGCAGGGTTGATGGAGCCCCCTCACCACGCAGCCTGTGCTGGTCTGAGCATCACTTGCTGACCCATGGCAAGCTCAGCAGGAGAAGGCAGCCAACCTAGGGCAGCGCAGGTGACCCGCCCCTGGTCAGTGGGATTGGCTTCCATGTGGTCTGCCCTTCCATGAGGATTTTACACCCAGCGGGCAGAGCCCTGGCTGCAGGATGACTGAACCTCACGTTTCAAATTCAGCCCCCCAGGCTGCCAGTGCCCCTCCTCTTTGGGAAGATGGAATGAGTAAGGAGTAGCTCTCATCCTTAAATGTCCTTATCTGTCGACGTCCTAAATTGTTGCCAATTTGCCTGGGGTCAATATTGCATGAGAATCTTAGCACCGGGGTGAACTGGGGCTTCAGCCAAAGGTCATCTTGGGGTGGGGGCTGGAGGTTCTGTCATGGGCATCTGGGATGCCAGCTCTCATTTCTCATACCAGCCCTGCCTGGGGCAGGGGCCAGCAGCACCCCCTATTCCAGACAGGAAACAGAAGCCAGGGCAGTTGATGGCACAGGGTAAAGGTCAGGCTGCTGCTAAGCACGGGACCACGTTCAAGTCTGGGCCTCCAGCTCTGCACTTGGGCTCTGGAGGGTCACAGGCCGCTGGACGGAGGCATGGACAGAAAGTAGCCTCGTCCCTCTTATCTGAAGGCTGACCATACCTGGCCCTGGCCAGGCCTGCCCCAGGAGAAGGGCGCTGCCCACGGTGGGCAGGAGTGCCGGCTGGAGCTCGGCAGGGCTGGGCTGGGTGGCCGTCCACCCGCAGCCCCAGCAGGAACCTCGCGAGGCACCGAGTCCCCTGACCAGAGCTGGCTCCCGGAGCAAAGGCTCCAGCGGTGTTGACACAAACTCTTGAGCTCTCAACTGGGAGCCGGGTCATATTTATTTATTTTCTGCATTTAAAAAAAAAATCAGCTTGGCTATGTTTGAGCTTCAGAAATGATTTTTTTTTAAAAGAGCGGTGGACACCGTTTTTTAGCTTTTTATACCTAAACAGATACTTCTCAGTTCTTTCAAGTGTGAGCTGCCCAATGAACGGGGCTCTCTGCTCTCCTAAGAAAAATATTTACACAGCAGAGTCGGTGCAGCCAGGGACCAGCTCTGCAGCGGCTCCCAGCTGTTTACACGCTCAGCCCCTCCCCTCCCCCACCCTGCCCACCTCAGACTCCAGAGCCGGGGGTCCTCCACGGAGAACCCCA